TCAATTGTCGGTAATGTCAGCGTTCTTGAATTACCTCCGGGCCCTTGGGGCCCTTTTTATACCGCCGAAAATTTGCCCAGGGTTGACGATCTTTAATAATATCTCGTCGGTGGTAGAAGTAAGGACTATTTTTTACTTCCGTAGTATTTAATAACCCTCTTTGGCGTGTGTGTATGTGTGCGCGCGCGCGCTCGTGTGTATGCGAAGGAGAGACTTAATCAATAACATTATTATTCATCAATAAATAGATCATTTGGATGACACACACACACACACACACACGCACGCACGCATGCACACACACACACACACTAAAGATGGTTGGAGTCTTTAAATACTATGGAGGTGACGAACCGTGGGGTCCTCATCTCTGCTGGACACGCACGCGCGCACGCACGAGAGGTTTGGAGTTATTAAATACTACGGAAGTAAAAAATAGTCCTTACTTTTACTTAGAGTCCCTATAATAACTATAATAAGAGTCAAGACATGAGAGGCGATGCCCTCGTGATTGGTCGCCACCATTTCTAGGCGCTTTCGATGTGTTATAGCGTTTTCAGCCCGGCCAGAGGCACTATTCTTGAAAAGAAACGTATACGAAAGTCTAGAGAAATACTATAGTATACGTAACGTATACTGTAACATTTCCCTACACTTTTGTATACGTTTCTTTTCAAGAATAGAGCCCCAGGTTTGCACCAACCTGGGTTGGATTAATGGCGTTTTGTGCTCTCCCATTGGTAGAGCGGGTGACGTCAACCAATAGGAAAGATTAATCCAACCAAGGTTGGTGCAAACGCGGTGATCCCGATTGACCACGGCTCGATTGGACACCACCAATCACAGCGACCGGTGCTTAGGAGCTTTGTAGTCTCAAGGCTCGTGTCCAATTGAGCCGTGTCCAACTGGGTGCCATCCGTACAAACAGGCGTGAACGAGTCTATAGGTCTGTTTTTTATTGCCGCACTTTCTGAACTAGTACACACAGTGCGATAAGTTGAAGTGAAACAAATATACGTTTGTTTCACTTTAACTTATTGCACTGATTCAGAGCGCAGCAATAAAAAACAGATCTTATTTGTGTCACGCGTTATTTGTGCTGTTTCCGGCCGGCGCCCAGCAATGGCGTCCTTCCGGTCTTAAGTCTTGACTCTTATTATAAGTACTCTACTTCTACTAGAGCACTAGAAACGTAGGTATTCGCGTCCACCATTTTTACTCCTTTCCCCACTGTTTGTTCTCTCTTCAACCTTCTCTCTTCTTAGTTTAGCGGCAGAATGGAAAGAGAGCAAGGAATTGAGAAAAGGAGCAAGAGAGTGAGAAAAGGAGTAAAAATGGCGGATGCGAATATTCACGTTTATAGTGCCTTAGGCCGGAATCAGACTACGCATTGAAGAATGAGATTGAAGATTGAAAGATTGATGTTTGACCAATCAGAACAAAAGGAGCCAAAATTTCTTTGTCCTCATTGGTGAAATTTCAATCTTTAATCTTCAATCATGGGCCGCGGTCCGATACACGCTCACAACGCTTAAAAATCATTTCATCCTTGTTGTTTGTCAAATGTTAAACGAAGACAAACAATGCTCATGAGCGTTATCAGCATGATTCGGACCACGGCCTTAATCTTCAATGCATAGTCTGATTCCGGCCTTACTTTTACTGACACAATCGCACATAACATTCGACCGAATCTAGACCTTTCAAGGCTTGTAGCGCGGAAACGGTTCATAGGATCATGATGAGCCCATTGAGACATTTGTTCAGAATGACGAGAACTACAACATATCCAAAAATGAGCCAAATCCGCCGAAAGACATTTTCCCATAAGAATGGTGCGGGGTCCTTTGCGAAATTTGACCATTTAAATTCAGGACACTGTATATTAAGCCTTACCGTACCAATATGGGTAACCGATATAGTGACCGAGCGATTCCTGTTCGTGCAAGTTTCTTTGAATCTTTCGGTGATTATAAAATATAAATTATACTACATTTTATTATTTTCTAAAATAAAGAGTCAATATTTATTCTAGAAAGTTGAAAGTATATTGGTGAATTTTTAGAGATTTTTTAAATTATTTTGGAGAGATGAAAAAAACGAAGAAATTCTAGTGATCCTTGATGGTATGGATGAGGCACTAAATTGTACAGGGTATGGTAAGGGTTAAGATAGTTTCGTCTGGTTGCAATTATTATGATTATTATTAACAATATTATTATTATTATTACTAATTCAAAACGGACCAATAAGGACTTTGCTTGTGCAAACCGCGGCACGGGTACAATCCGCGCTCACACCGAGCGAGCAGAATCCACGCGCGTCAGGCATGCTCACATGGATTAGGGCAATATCTGGCACGATCCTTTTTTCAAAGAACAATCTTGGTGCCTCGTGTAGGAATACCGGGATGCAATCTGCTCGTCCCTCATTTATTGCCTCTCTAAGACTAGTGCCCACATATAGACTGATGGACCTGAAATGTTCTTAAATATCGTCACAGATATCATATTATTTATTTCTCACTCAGGCATTGTTATCAATGGGATTAATTAATGCAAGTACCGTACTCTCAAATTCTGGATTAGCGAATGGTGTATCTCCTTCAAGACTCATATGCACTAATCTGACTCCACGCAAATTATTGCATACTCCGTGTTCGGTCATGGCACGTACTAATTCCATTGGCGTAGCTGCACCACCCTGTATGAAAACTAAATGCTCTGGGAAGAAAAATAATTTATTTACAACAAACTTGCCTATCTTGTAGTAGCATATATAACAATATTAAAAAGAAAAATTTCAAGTTACACCATAGTTTTTACTCACATATTAGAATTAAAAAATTGGAATAATTATGTTAAAAATTAAAACTATATTAAGTATTATAATTCACACAACGAATCTAGATAACTTTCTAAACGAATTATTAATTTTATTCAATTAAAAACATTTTTGGAAAACAATTCTTTCCTGTATAGAAAATAAAATAAATATTGGTCTAAAATATAATGCAACTGTATAATGATAAGTACCTGAATTTATGATTTTTACCGCATCTTCCACGCAAACCCATTTTGGACATCGTTTTAAAGGTTGGGAAGGTTCCCTCAAACTTTGCATGTATCGTCGTCCACATAATTGGAAAGATTTTGCGTGCTGAATTTTTCCGAATACCAATTTTAGATTTCGAAACATTTTCACATCGTCTTAAAATTGATAAGGCTCCAAGCTCTCATTGATAACACGATATGTTGTATAAAAATTGGTATGAAACATAATATAAAAAATCTCGCTGTTCGCATATGTCTAGCGAAGCGAATCAATTGACATTTCTATCTACAAATGTCTATAAATCACTATTTGAACATCTGATTTGGCGGCGTTCGATTTTTCGACAGCTTCACAATCCATGAACGAATTATTGACGTGAATTTCGCGCATTTGAATTAAATATGAACATAAAAACGCAAATATTATTTCACTATTATTTTATTATTTTTTAATGTAAAAAATATACAGGAGATATAGGGTACTAACGGTAGATAGGAGTTCTCAACTTATAATTTCTTTCTGCGTACTATTTCAACTTTTTCACATTACCATGTGTGAAAACACTAAAAATTATACAAAGAAACGTTGACTTTAATATAAAAATGTTTTAATCTAGAAATAGCGTCAAGTTGCGCCATTTTCTATCTGAATCGTGTTCCAAGGCACAAGAACACATTTTTTTCGCGATATAAAATACACGTGACTTAAATTAATACCTATATATATGGAAACGATGCAATCTCGCATTATAAATTCTTACGTACATAATGATACAATTTAGCGCATTTTTCGGTCTAGTACATGTATTTCCCCCCTCCCCCCCC